TGCACACTTGTGTGTAGGTACAAGGCGGAGCTCGAACTCTGAAATCTCCCAAATTATTGTTGATTGTGTAGGTGGTTGTGGTATTTTGCTCTAGCTGGTTGTGGGCTAAGGGTTTGGGCAAAATGTGGTGGTTGGACTTGTTGCGGGCTGGATTTGAACTCGCACCCAACAAGCACCAACAAACCTTTGTTACCGACTACAACACCTTTGGTGTTGCTAGTTTGGCATTTTGGGTTGTTGGGGATTGTTGTAGGGCGAGGGTTGGGATGGTAGGGTTTGCCAAACTCGTCACTTTTCAGATCTGAACTCTTGCTTATGCCATTCCTAGATCTAATCCATGGCTGCCAAGTAATTCCGCCAGGATACCCCGTCGCACATAAATCGCGATAGCGATCGGCCTAGATCTTGGATGAAGGCGTGCTTTACCATTCTGGAAATAAGATATTGAGACCTTTCTAACGCGTACCTGGTCATTGTTTTAGGTTACGTGAGCTGCACGCAATGGTTCGCCGAAGTCGGCGGACTTAATCTCTTGTTACGCTCTCCAGATTCGCACGCTTTCCAAATTATGTGGATCGGAAAGGTTATAAGCTAGTGTTATTGAAGTAGAAGGCCTAATCTAGTGGACTGGTAAGAATATGGTACTAACTGCATCTCTAAAAACATCAGTAATGCGCTCGTCAGTTTGATCGGTATGCGCGCATGTAGTGCATGTACCATGTACGACTGAAATGTCTATATCTGCTAAATTACTTAGATCGATAGGTTAAAACATGGTCGAGGGGTGAGCAATGGAATAAGAAGATGGGAATATATATCGTATTCATTGTATTTGTACAAAGAGAATAATGCGTCGGTCGGTTTGGTCAGAATGCACACTTGTGTGTAGGTACAAGGCGGAGCTCGAACTCTGAAATATCCCAAATTATGTAAATCGGAAAGGTTATAAGCTAGTGTTATTGAAGTAGAAGGCCTAATCTAGTGGACTGGTAAGAATATGGTACTAACTGCATCTCTAAAAACATCAGTAATGCGCTCGTCAGTTTGATCGGTATGCGCGCATAGTGACATTCTGAGCACAAGTTCAAGAAGGAATAGTTTAAAGTTCACAATTATGAGTAAAGCTAGAGGCAGTCACAGAGGGTAAGTGAGGAGGAGGAGGGCTGGCGAGAGGAGAGTAGATTAGGAGGCGACGACTGAAGCTGCAGACACACGGGCAACAGACGGCTCTGGTGCGACACAGTGGCTACCGGGAATGAGTGCCCCGGAGTACAGGAGTAACAGGCTCCGCGGCTAATACGCGCGACAGGAGCAACGGACCCACAGGCGACGGCGCAACCGGCTCTCTGAGCTACCGGGAATGAGTGCCCCGGAGTACAGGCGCTGCGTACGACACGACGGCAACCTCCGCTCAACCTCCCCCAACAGTCCCACACCCCTCGACACACACCCCCTGCTTCAAACCCTAGCTCCACTCCCACGGTACCCCCCTTAAACCCCAAACCCTAGGCTCCCACACACCACCCCCCTCAGCGGCAGCTGTAGCAGAGGGAGACGAGGGAGGAGGAGGAGCAGGAGGAGTAACTCACAACCGACACCCCCATAGCCGCCACCCCCACACTCCTCACCCCCAAACCCTAAAACGGGCGGAACGGGGGAAGGAGCGCGGGGGACGGCGGAGGGGACGGCGCGCGGCCCCCAGGACGCCACCACGGGGCAGCGAGGGGCCGCGCGCGGCTCCTTAGGGCGCCGCGAAGGGGCAGCGGGGGGTCGCGAGTGACGGGAACGGGGGGGCCGCGGGCGACGGGAACGGGGGGCCGCGGGCGACGGGAACGGGGGGCCGCGGGCGACGGGAACGGGGGGCCGCGGGCGACGGGAAATCGGGGCCGCGGGGGGGTCGCGCGCGGCTCCCCAGGGCAGCGGGACGGGAAATCGGGGGCGCGCGGGGGTCCCCCACGGTAGGAAACCGCCGCGCGTCCGGGGCGCACGGTAGGCAGAAAACCGCCGCACGCCCCGAGCGCGCGGCGGGATGAAAAATCCGTCGCACGCCACGGGGCGTGCGACACAAACAGTAGTAGGAGCAGCGGAAGACTGAGGTGGTGGGGCCCACCCACAGGATCGACCCAACTGGATCGTCCTGCTCTGATAGCATGTCGAGATAGTAAGCACGATGAGGAGCCATAGCTAGGGTTGACCTAGCTAGGCAAGAGAGAATGAAGCAAAGGAGAGGGTTGCACTAGCAACAATGGTGGTACAAATAGCTAACCCTAGAAGGGTTGTACTCGCTATAGAGCACCCCACTGCAGGCTAGAGCATAATATTATGACAACTGCATCTCTAAAAACATCAGTAATGCGCTCGTCAGTTTGGTGGGTATGCGGGCATGTAGTGCATGTACCATGTACGACTGAAATGTCTATATGTGCTAAATCATTTAAATCCGATAGGTTAAAACATGGTCGAGGGGTGAGGAATGGAATAAGGAAATGGGAATACATATGGTATTCATTGTATTTGTACAAAGAGAATAATGCGTCGGTCGGTTTGGTCAGAATGCACACTTGTATAGGTACAAGGCGGAGCTCAAACTCTGAAATCTCCCAAATTATGTGCATCGGAAAGGTTATAATCCAGTTTTGTTGAAGTAGAGGGCCTAATTTAGTGGACGATTAAGATTATGGTACTAACTGCATCTCTAAAAACATCAGTAATGCGCTCGTCAGTTTGGTCGGTATGCGCGCCTGTAGTGCATGTACCATGTACGACTGAAATGACTATATTTGCTAAATTACATAGATCCGATAGGTTAAAACATGGTCAAGGGGTGAAGAATCGTATAATTTAAAGAAAATTGGAATACATATGGTATTCATTGTATTTGTACAAAGAGAAATATGCGTCGGTCGGTTCGGTCAGAATGCACACTGACGTATAGGTAGGTAAGCGGAGCTCGAACTCTGAAATCTCCCAAATTATGTGGATCGGAAAGTTTATAAGCCAGTGTTACTGAATTAGAAGGCCTAATCTAGTGGACTGGTAAGAATATGGTACTAACTGCATCTCTAAAAACATCAGTAATGCGCTCGTCAGTTTGATCGGTATGCGCGCATAGTGCATGTACCATGCACGATTGAAATGTCTATATTGGCTAAATTACTTAGGTCCGATAGGTCAAAACATGGTCGAGGGTTGCGGAATGGAATATGAAAATGGGAATACATATGGTATTCATTGTATTTGTACAAAGAGAAATATGCGTCGGTCGGTTTGGTCAATATGCACATTTGTGCTAAGGTACAAGGCGGAGCTCGAACTCTGAAATCTCCCAAATTATGTGGATCGGAAAGGTTATAAGCTAGTGTTATTGAAGTAGAAGGCCTAATCTAGTGGACTGGTAAGAATATGGTACTAACTGCATCTCTAAAAACATCAGTAATGCGCTCGTCAGTTTGGTCGGTATGCGCGCCTGTAGTGCATGTACCAAGGTACGACTGAAATGTCTATATCTGCTAAATTACATAGATCCGATAGGTTAAAACATGGTCGAGGGGTGAGGGATGGTATAATTTAAAGGAAATAAGAATAATACATATGGTATTCATTGTATTTGTACAAAGAGAATAATGCGTCGGTCGGTTTGGTCAGAATGCACACTTGTGTGTAGGTACAAGGCGGAGCTCGAACTCTGAAATCTCCCAAATTATGTGGATCGGAAAGGTTGTAAGCCAGTGTTATTGAAGTAGAAGGCCTAATCTAGTGGACTGGTAAGAATATGGTACTAACTGCATCTCTAAAAACATCAGTAATGCGCTCGTCAGTTTGGTCGGTATGCGCGCCTGTAGTGCATGTACCATGTATGACTGAAATGACTATATTTGCTAAATTACATAGATCCGATAGGTTAAAACATGGTCAAGGGGCGAAGAATCGTATGATTTAAAGGAGATTGGAATACATATGGTATTCATTGTATTTGTACAAAGAGAATAATGCATCGGTCGCTTCGGTCAGAATGCACACTGACGTGTAGGTACAAGGCGGAGCTCGAACTCTGAAATCTCCCAAATTATGTGGATCGGAAAGGTTATATGCCATTGTTATTGAAGTAGAAGGCCTAATCTAGTGGACTGGTAAGAATATGGTACTAACTGCATCTCTAAAAACATCAGTAATGCGCTCGTCAGTTTGGTCGGTATGCGCGTCTGTAGTGCATGTACCATGTACGACTGAAATGTCTACATTTGTTAAATTACATAGATCCGATAGGTTAAAACATGGTCGATGGGTGAGGGATTGTATAATTTAAAGGGAACGGGAATACATATGGTATTCATTGTATTTGTACAAAGAGAATAATGCGTCGGTCGGTTCGGTCAGAATGCACACTTGTGTGTAGGTACAAGGCGGAGCTCGAACTCTGAAATATCTCAAATTATGTGGATCGGAAAGGCTATAAGCTAGTTGTGTTGAAGTAGAAGGCCTAATCTAGTGGACGTATAAGAATATGGTATTTATTTATGTAGACCAGTATAGATTAGGCCAAGAATGAATTTTGCGAGTGGTGGTATCACACCAGATCAAGGCGTGAACGACCACGCTCGTGCCGTGTTTTGGTGTGTGCAAAACCGTAATGAGCCAACTTCGCACTAACGAGTATAGTTACTAGTTTTAGTAAGAGCCATCTCATTTCGCACACTAACGAGTATAGTTACTAGTTTTCGTAAGTGCCATCTCATTTCGCAAAAACCTTCGCCGCACGGCACAGAGCATTGTTCACTCGGCACACGGCCATGCTCGCGACGATCGGAACAATTCCCCTTCCGCCCAGAGTAGCGCGGACTTTCGCGTAGGGTTCACGCGGAAAGGTATAGCAGAGGGCGACAGTGAAGATGAGTCCTTACTAAACATATCTCACTGCTGACGATGTCCTTAGAATAGTGCCTGTTACGAAGACTCTACGATCTTTAACCATCGTAAGCTTCTTACTGTAGTGTGCTCAGATGGCATCTATCGCGATCGCCTCGAGTTCCGCGTTACAAGGAATTGACGGCTTGGAACGAGTGCGCGATCCGACGGTCTCAAGATCTCATCATCATCCACACCGTCTAGATGCACCATCCGATCGTCCCGCATCTACTTGCCATCCAACAAATCAGCATCCGGCATTCCCATTGGACCGCCTGCCTGACGACGTGCTCTCATTGGTCCTCCAGCATCTCTCCCGCAACTCCCTCGCGCACGCCTTCGTCTGCAAGCGCTGGTTCCGCCTCACGTGCCTTGCGCGCGTCTACCTCAAGGTTCCGCGCGCCGTGCACTCCGCGCAGCTTCTCTCCGCTGTAGACACATTCCCGACATTGTCACAGCTCGATATAGCGGAGAACACCGTTCCGCACGCGACAGACGAGCTCCTGCGCGGAATCTCCGCGCGCTGCCCCAATCTCACGCGCCTGCTCATCGGGTACCAGTTCCGCGCGCGATTCTCCCCCGCGGGGCTCTCCGCGCTCTTCCGCGGGTGCGCGCGCCTGCAGCAGCTCCGCCTGTTTTCCCTCAGCGGAATCTCCGCTCTTCCCGCATCCCTCACGCTCCTTTTTCAGCTAGAAGTTCTCGAGTTAGGCGACGACCCGGCCTGGCGCGGATTGGATACGTTCACGAATCTGATCGAACCCGATATAAGCCTAAACTCGTTAAGCTGTATGAAGAAGCTGGTTGTGAGCAGCCGCTGCTTTGAGAGCCTGCCGTGGAGCATCGGCGAGCTGACTCGTTTGGAGCATCTAGAAATCCATTCAGAGGTTCTTAGATCGCTGCCCGGGAGTTTCGGGCAGCTGGGGTCGCTGGCAGTTCTGAAGCTCGAGGCCAAGTGTTTGGAGGAGCTGCCCGAGAGCCTGGGCAGGTTGAAAAACCTGCAGCGAATGTGGCTGACCAACTGCGAGAGTCTGTCCAAACTTCCCGACTCGTTCGGGCAGCTTTCCAGCCTATCCTTCCTCAGCATTCACCTCTGCGACCGGCTCCGGTCACTCCCAGAAAGTTTCAGCTTCCTGCCCGCTTTGGAAACGCTAAAACTACACGAGCTTCCGAGCCTGCGCACGCTGCCCGAACTCTTCGGGCACCTGCCGAAGCTGAGAGTCCTCGACATGAGCACATGCGGGGTGGTGCGCCTTCCGCTCTCCCTCTACCTCCTAGCCCGCTTGGAACGACTCAGCATAGCAGCTTTCCCGGACCTCCCCCACGTGCCCCCCCTCACTGCTCAACTCCTCCCTCCGCTGCCCCGCCCGCCCCACCAATCTCTCCCGCCTGACACCGCCTCTGCATTGCTTGCGTCTCCCTCCCACTCCCATGCGTCGTCGTCTGCTGCTGGGGAGGGTGTTCATGCGGGATCCGCCTCCATTTCCCGTGAGAATGTTGGTCACGAGATGGGGCAGAGTCAACAGAGGAGGGCGCGGCCTGTTGGATTCTGTACTGGATTGGGTGGGGGCTTACGGGACGATGAGGAGGAGGAGGAGGAGGAGGAGGAGGAGCAGGAGGAGGGGGAAGATGAGGAGGAGGAGAGAGAGGACGAGATGCAGCAGGGGGAGCAGCAGCAGCAGCAGCAGCAACAGCAAGAGGGGGGAGGTCTGTGGGAAGGGCAGGGTGAGCAGGAGGGTATGGCTGGAGTCAATACACGCTGGGGAGTCGGGAGGCACTTTCCTTCATCCTCGTTAGGGCTCTCCTCGTTAGTGATACTAGAAATGACAGACCACACTGGAATCCTTGCCCTGCCCGAAGACCTAGGCTGCCTGCCCAAGCTGGAGCTTCTCAGGCTGGTCAGACTGGACAATTTCACGGTCCTGCCCGATTCCCTCGGGCAGCTGAAATCCCTGCGCAAGCTGATGCTTTCTCAGCTGCCCAATCTGGAGTATCTCCCTTCCTCTCTCCCACAACTGCCATCCCTCGAACTGCTGGTCATTCACCAATGTGCCAACCTGGCATCCCTGCCACGTGGCACAATCTCAGGCCTCCAGAACCTGTCCAAGGTGGCACTCATTGAGTGCGCAAGCTTGTGCAGTCTGGATAACGAAGAAGGGAAGGCCTGCAGGGGTGGCACTGACACACTGCGCCATGTGCTTGTGTTCGATTGCGGAATGAAGTCCCTTCCACCGTCTCTTCTACATGTGGAGTCATTGCAGACTGTACACTTTCGAAATGGGGGGTGGTTTGGTTTTCCGGTGTTTTCATTGCCGGAGGTGTACGGGTTTTCTAGGTATTCTTGTGAGAGCGTGCAAGGAGGGTTTGTTTATTCTAGGAATTATAGCTACCCCTGCGTGCATTGCCGTGATTTTGTGTTAGCTACATGGGATGCATAATTGTACTGAGTACTGCATGGGGATGCCCAAAGGTACTTAGCAAGTTAGTTCTACATGCTTGACCTTGTTGTACCAGGGATGTGATTTTAAGTGAGAAGTTAACAGCGGGTAATACTATTTTGTTCTACGTTCTGCCTTGATCGTGCTGTGAAGTGATACAAATCTTAATACCCTGTCCAAACGTAATTTTACCGTTTAGAACCGCCTCAAACGAGCCCTTTCTGAAGAAGTGCCTGCGGTATTACCCCGTGCGTGAATCTGGTCTATGCAGCTCGCGTGACGCTTTCCCCGAATTTCAAGACAAGGGCGTAAGGCTAGGAGGCCCACCAACTAGCCGTTTTTTCTCGGGTCCTGTATATCCGCCATGACATTCCTTCCCGCCAGTATCATCGCATTTTTCTCGCCATCCTCACCGTCCGATATGCTTTCCTCCCACGACGAGCCGCTTCTCATTCCCTTCCCCGTGAACGATCTTCCAGACGACGTGCTCGCGGTGGTGCTTCGCCTCGTGTCGCGTCGCTCGATCCACCTCGCCTTGCAGACGACTGTCGTCTGCAAACGCTGGTGCCGCCTCCTCCGCCTCTCGCTCTCCCATGTGACAATAACGAGGAAAATCACCCCGGGTGACCTCCTGTGCGCGTTGAGAACTTTCCCTTCAATCACGTACTTAGATCTTGCCGAAAATGCTCTCATGCCACCTGTCGAATCCCCATTCTTTCAAGACGACCTGCTCCGTCGAATCTCTGACACGTGTCCGCATCTGAAGAACTTCTCTCTCGCGCACCAACCGCGCGCGAAGGGCCGAGTCTCCGTCGATGGACTCTCCGCGCTCTTCCGCGGATGCCCGCGCCTGGAATCGTTGCGCCTGCTCTCCCTCAGCGCAATCCCCGCGCTTCCGCCCGCCGTCTCCCGGCTCACCAACCTCTCTGCTCTCGAATTGGGGGACAGTGGCGCGTGGTGCTGGGGGGAAGGCGGAAAGCTTGTGCTGGCGGAGGGGGAAGGGGGAGTGGAAGGCGGAACGGGAGGGTGCATGGAAGCGGAGGAGGGGAGGCAGGCGGAGAGGGAAAACCATAGGCTTATGCGGGATAGTAGCAGCAGCAGCTTGGAATTCATCAGCGCTCGGATTAGGAGGCAGAGGGACTCGTCTCTAACTTCGCTGACCGCATGCGCTTCACACTTACAGTGTTTAAGTGCGCTCACTTACCTAAGAGTCAACAGCTGGTGCTTGCAGGCGCTGCCTGCGTCTGTTGGCGCACTGAAGATGCTTACTTGCTTGGAGGTCACGTCGGAAAAAGTTTCTGTCCTGCCCGAGGAAATCTGTGACCTGCCTGTTCTACAAGTGCTCTGGCTTAGACTGAGAAAATTAAGCTATCTGCCCGAGAGGTTGGGCAGCTTGGCCAGCCTTCAGCAGCTGCGGTTGAGGGACTGCACGTGTTTGGTGTCACTGCCCGACACTTTCGGGCAGCTCAGAATAAAACTCCTGGAGCTCCATAATTGTGCATCTCTCACTGCTCTTCCCCATGATTTTGGGTCGCTCTCCCAACTGCAGACCCTCCGCATGATCTGGGTGTATCATTTACCCAACCTGCCCGACTCCTTCGGGCAGCTCTCCAATCTCCGTTACCTTGAGCTGGAGCAGTGCACGGCTCTTCGAGACCTGCCCGGCCCTGTCAACTCCCCTTGCCAAAACCAGACATGGCTGCCCGCTCTCGAAAGCCTTCGCCTGGTGGGACTCCGCCATCTGGACTCGCTCCCTCCACTCGGGCAGCTGAAAAACCTTCGCAGGCTGACCGTGTCACTTCTGTCGAAGCTTGAGGAGCTTCCACCATCCCTCTCCCTCCTCTCCAACCTGCAAACCCTAGTCATCCATGGCTGCTCGCAGCTCAAATCCCTCCCTGGGAACGTCCCCTCCGCCCTGCCCTCCCTCTCCTCCCTCGCCGTTCTCTCCTGCCGCGGCATTCAAGATCTGGATTTTCTTCCGTTTTCCAATCGTGCTATGGAGACATGCGGTGAGGGTGGGGTGGAGGGGAGGGTGACCGGTGAAGTGGTAAAGTGCGATGCGTTACGGTGCGACAATGTGGAGAGGGGTTCGCCGCCTGAAGCTGAAAGGAAGCTGCGCATGCAAACGGGCACACTAGCAAATGGTTCTAGCAGCTGCTGCACCTCAGGCACAGCCCACAAGGGGATGAAGAACCTTGTATCTTCCCTGTCAACTCAACTCTGTTCCGCCGTGATCTCCTCTAGATCTGACGCCAAGGCACGCCGGGCCCGTGACGTCAGCCCGCCAATCCCGACGCATCTTTCTTTCCTCTCGAGTGTGTATGTTATAGACACGGGCGTCAAGGTGCTGCCTGATTCGCTGTGGCTGCTTCCATCAGTTCAGTGTATTCATCACTTCAATCACAAGTGGATGGGCAGTAAGGTCAGTGATAAGCCTCCCAAGGAGTATCGGTTTGAGAGGAAGTCTTGCAGGAGTGACACAGAGGGGAGGGTGTATGTGAGAGGTGGGTATGAAGGAGATCCGTGTGCTTGTTGCTCTTCAGAGAGAGCCATGAGCTATGGATAGCATGTTACTATGGTGTTACTGATTTCGTGGACCATTGACTAGCATAGATCAACTCAAGAATAGGGGTCTTTACACTAACTCAGTACAATGTACAATTAAGAATAATGTACAATGTGCAACGTACCCACGACTCACAACAAGCGGGCTTTTTCTTCCACCTCCCCAACACACCACCTGTATGCTCGCCTGCACGATCGGCATGCAAGACCAGCCGACCAAGTGCAAGCACCCTGCAGCCCTGAGCAACCTGCCCTTACCAGCAACACAGCCAGCTGCAGCAACGCTTCCATCACATGCAGAAGCACAAACAGAGTTTTGACTCGCAGCAACCATCGCATTCTCCTTAATCGGACACCGGGAAGGCAGTCAAGCAGCCATGGATCAGCCTCAGCACCCACCCCTTCCAATTCCAGATGCTGCAATTGGGGCAGCTGCCTGCTGGATAAGTCCAGGAAATTTTCCAAATTGCCCAGGGAATGCAGGGTGAGCGTGTGCAGGGCAGGGAAGGAGAAGTTTTCTGGGAGGGAGGAGATCATCGGGCAGTCAGAAACTTTCAATATGGTGAGGGAAACTAGTCCCGGATGTTGTTCCGTGGTGTTCGTCGCAGAATCAGAGATAGGGATTGAAACGCAGGTGGGGGCAGGGGGAGGGGCAGAGGCAGCGACAACGTCAGGAGCAGAAGCAGGGCCTGGGGCAGAGGTAACGGTATCTAGGAACAGGAACACCAGCAGTGCGGCAGCAAGCAGCATGGCAGGATAGAGCCACGCACTGGGTACCAGAGAGATGAGCAGCAGCACCACAACCAGAAGCAGCGATGCAACGACGACGAGAAGACTGCCACTTCTCGTGCCGATGAAAGCAAGCACGGCAGCAGAGGACGGTCCTATGAGGCCTCGCACGGTGAGCAGCGGCAGGGAGATGAGAAGCATGACAGCAAAGACTGCAGCAGTGCAGAGTGCAGCAATAATCACCCTTTCAATCGGACTCAACGATTCCAGCCCACTTCCGGAACCTTCAGGATGGTTTGCAGGGGTGAGCGGCTTCAGGGAGTTTATTTCGGAGCATGACTCGATATGGAGGGACTCTAAACGAGTCAGTTTGTAAAGGGAGGGAGGAAGCTTCTTTAGTTGATAACAGTTGGTCAGGCTCAGCTTTTCCAGGCTCGATGAAAGGCTGCTTTCACACAATCTCTCCGGCAGATGTTGCAGCGTGGGCAGGTCCATCTCGAGCGTTTTTAACTGGGGTAAATTACTCAGGCTTTCGGGCAGAGCACGGATGTTATCGAGGTAGAGGAGCTTTAGAGTTAGCAGATGGGACAAGGCGCCGATGTGGTGTGGAAGTGAGTTGAGCGAGGAGCAGGAGGAGATGGAGAGGGAGGAGAGAGGGAGGAAGCAGATGCTCTCTGGGAGAATTTCAAGGGCATTGCATTCGTGGAGGGAGAGAGATTGCAGCTGCGTCAACCCAGCCATAACATTCTCGGGCAGGCTCTGTACATTCTTTGATTGAATAAATAGTGCTTTCAGCCCAGTCAGCAGTTGGAAGGATTCCGGAATGCTCTCGAGCTCACCTTGTTCGATTTCTAGGGTTTCCAGCCGAGCCAAGTCACCAATCGCGTCGGGAAGCTTCGTGATGGTTCTAGCGAAGCAAGTACTGATACTCAGCTTGCGGAGGTTCCTCAGGAGACCCACGCTCTCCCCCAGCCCCTGGAAGCTCGCTCCCGCGCGGATCCGCAACTCCCGCAGCTGCTGCAGCGCGCCGATGCTCTCGCGCGGCGAAATGAGCTCCTGTAACGAGTCTTCGCCATAGCGCGGATGAGCGCACACGTGGAGGGTTTGGAGATCTGTCAGGAGCGAGAGGGACGCCGGGAGATGCGGGAGGCCGTCGATGGTGAGGAGCCGGAGGTCCCTTAGCTTGCGGCATCCACGGAAGAGCGACTCGAGGCCGTCTACAGTAACCGCCATGCGAAACTGATGCTCCACCGTTAGATAGCTCAGGAACGGACACGTGGCGGCCAGGCATTGAAAGAGCGCGTCGCCGTCGGCGGATACGATGGAAAACTCGCCCAGCGACACGTGCGTGAGGGCGGGGAAGCGGCGCAGCGCGGAAAGCAGGCGTGGAAGCGGAAGCCACGCAAGCTGAGCGTTGCGCGAGTGCTCAGAATCGCGTAGTATTTCTTGCGTCGATAGATCCCGATGCCGAATGGTCAAGTGGGAGAGCGCGGACGTGGCGAGGCGGAGCCAGCGCTTGGAAACGAGCGCGTGGCGGAAGGAGGTCTGCGCGAGCGCGCGGAAGACGAGCGCGAGAACGTCGTCGGGGAGGCGCTCCAGGGGGAAGGGCGGATCGGCGCGCGCGGGAGAAACCATGGCTTTGAGGTGGCTAAGGAAAGGGGCTAATGCCATCGTTGGATGTGCGAGCAGCTTTGTTGCCCCTAAGGAGTCTGGACTGGAGGACAGCCCTTTTCTGTACTAATGGATTCACTAGCAATTGGAATTTAGGGGAACACGTGGCGAGATCGCCAGGCGGAGAGATTTTAGAACGACGAACTGCGAATCAATGGCGTGTCCGCATCAGCGTACGACAGGCACGGCCCGCCGCCGCGATTACCGCTCTCCGTGTGGTGAAATGGGCAAAATAGAAAATCACCAGGCGTAAGAGGCTTGGGTGAGGTTATACTCAGTAAAGCCCGTGCGTGAACGTTATTGCATCTTTATTCTGAATGTAATGCAGCAAACTTTCATTCTCAATATGGCCCAACATTTCACAGTAACAAATAGAAGTATTACAACATGTTTTATCATCTTTTTTTTGAATCTATAAACCAAAAATATTTTCTTAATATGTTACGCTTTGTGCTTTATGGTTGCCCGCCTTTCTTGTATATGTGATAAGTTCAGTTCTCTTCAGTTTTCACTTCTGTGGCTCTTGAGTTCCCGCAGCTGAGTCTATATCGAAACTGAATGTGGCATGCAAAATGTCCTTTCAGGAGGCTGCCAAGTTTCGTTGACCACAAGTTGTCTCTGCGCTGTTGTGCTTCATCAGCCGACTTTTTCTGAGAACCGTTCGTTTCTCGTCCTTGGTACACTGTGGTACTGTATACTTTTCTTGGAATACTGTAGCTGCCAACTGAACCCATCTCTTTCGGTACATGCTTGGTTTCACGACGACTTCCCCGAGAAGGACCTGATTTAGATAATAACCACCCCAATGTCCACATTCGGGAAGATTCTTCATGACTCGTACGTTCCACATCCACCACACATCCCTCTATCCACTCAATCTCAAACCGCTTCAAATCAACCCTCCGCGTGTACCAAACGAATGCCACCTCACTCATGATGAGCAATGTCTACAGCCCTCGATTTTGCGCGCTGGTGTCATTTCCACATCCCGGGCAATGGCGCAGCTGGCGAGGCGATAACCAGAGTGGTTGTAGTACTGCAAGGCAACTAGCATAGGTGTTCTGCGAACGTGGTTGTTCAACATCAAGTCAGCACGTGTAAACAACAAGTGCCACGCAAATCCATCAGAACACACAAAACAGCGGGTTACCAAGGGAAACATCACATCATAGCGCTAAATCACGCTTTATATCCAGCCAATCACGCACACGCTCCACATACCAACGTTTCGTGCAAGGCAAGCTGTAGTCCAGAGTTAGGTGACAGAAATTCTGTCACGCGATGACTTGGTAGTGCTTATATTCGAATGCAGCAGTAGTGCTCTGGCAGAGCCTGAAACAGACGGAAACAGAGCATTCTTTCTTTTCAGAGTCTGAACAGACAATTCCGCCAGCAGATCTATCAGCGCTTTTACCCTACCCCTGTTCGCCGTTCTCCTGATTAGCGACGTCACTAACGTCATACGATGGATTTACTCGTCCCTTTCCTTACTACGGCTAGTAGCCGCATGCATGCCGCCACGGCTTCGCCCGCGCGCGCAGATCCGCCCTTCCCGGTGGAGCGCCTCCCCGACGACGTTCTCGTGCTCGTCTTCCGCGCGCTCGCGCAGACCTCCTTCCGCCACGCGCTCGTTTCCAAGCGCTGGCTCCGCCTCGCCACGACCGCGCTATCCCACTTGACTATTCGGCATCGGGATCTATCGACGCAAGTACGCGATTCGGAGCACTCGCGCAACGCGCAGCTTGCGTGGCTTCCGCTTCCGCGCCTGCTTTCCGCGCTGCGCCGCTTCCCCACCCTCACGCACGTGTCGCTGAGCGAATATTCCATCGTATCCGCCGACGGTGACGCGCTCTTCCAATGCCTGGCCGCCACGTGTCCGTTCCTGAGCCATCTAACGGTGGAGCATCAGTTTCGCATGGCGGTTACTGTAGACGGCCTCGAGTCGCTCTTCCGTGGATGCCGTAAGCTTAGGGAACTCCGGCTCCTCACCATCGACGGCCTCCCGCATCTACCGGCGTCCCTCTCGCTCCTCACGGACCTCCAAACCCTCCACGTGTGCGCTCATCCTCTATATGGCGATGACTCGTTTCGCCGCCCGAGAGCATCGGCGCGCTGCAGCAGCTGCGGGAGTTGCGGATCCGCGCGGGAGCGAGTTTCCAGGGACTCGGGGAGAGCGTGGGTCTCCTGAGGAACCTCCGCAAGCTGAGTTTCAGCAACCTCCTCTCGGAATCTGTCACGAGTCTTCCTCACGCGATCTGCGACTTGGCTCGGCTTGAAAGCTTGGAAATCGAATTGGACGGGCTCGAGAGCATTCCGGAATCATTCCAACTGCTGACCGGGCTGAAATCCTTCTCTCTCCAATCCAAGCGTATGCAGCGCCTGCCCGGAAATGTCATGGCGGGGCTGACGCAGCTGCAGTCTCTTTCTCTCCACGCCTGCGATTCCCTCGGGATTCTCCCAGAGAGCATCTGCTTTCTCCCCCTCTCCTCCCTCTCCATCTCCTCCTGCTCCTCGCTCATCTCACTCCCTCACCACATCGGCGCCTTGTCCCATCTGGAAACTTTTAAGCTCCTCTCCCTTGAGAATATCCCTGTTCTGCCCGAAAGCCTGGGTGATTTACCCCAGTTAAAAACGCTCGAGCTGGACCTGCCCGCGGTGGAGCATCTGCCTGAGAGATTGTGTGAAAGCAGCCTTTCATCTTGCCTGGAAAAGCTGAGCCTGACCAACTGCAATCAACTGACGGAGCTTCCTCCCTCACTATACAAGCTGACTCGTTTAGAGTCCCTCCATATCAAGTCATGCTCCAATATAAAGTCCCTGAAGCCGCTGACCCCTCCAGGCCTCCCTGAATGGTCCGGAATTGCATCGGAATTGTTCAGCCTGGCTGAAAAGCTGATTATTGGTGCACTCCTTTCAGTGTTGGAAGTGATCTCCCTGCCGCTCCTCACGGTGCGAGAGCTGATAGAACCGTCCTCTGCTGCCGTGCTTGCTTCCGCTTGCGCTGAAAGTGGCAGTCCTGTTGTCGCTGCTGTGCCACTGCTTCTCGTTGTGGCGGTGCTGCTGATGCCTCTGTTGCCCACTGCATGGCTCTATCCTGCCATGCTGCTCGCTGCTGCGCTGCTGGTGATCCTCCTCCCACAGCCCGTTGCTTCTACCTCTGCCTCTCCCTCTGGCCCTGCTTCTGCTCCTGTTTCTGCCCCTGCCCGTGCCCGTGTTCCTGCCCCTGCCCCTGCCCCTGCCGCTGCCCCTGCCCCTGCCCCCGCCCCTGCCCGTGCCGCTGCCGCTGCCGCTGCCGCTGCCGCTGCCGCTGCCGCTGCCGCTGCCGCTGCTGCTGCCCCTGCCCCTGCCCCTGCCCCTGCCACGCATAGTGTACCCGTATCCGTACCTTTGATTCTGCATCAAATGGCACGGAACAACACCCGGGCCTATTTTCCCTCACTGTATTGAAGGTTTCAGACTGCCCGCTTATTTCCTCCCTCCCAAAAAACTTCTCCTTCCCTGCCCTGCACACGCTCACCCTGCATTCTCTGGGCGTTCCGAAAGATCTCCTGGACTTATCGAGCAGGCAGCTGCCCCAACTGCAGCAGCTGGTGCTGGAGAGAATGGGTGCTGAGGCCGACCCATGGCTGTTTGATAGCATTCCCGGTGCGCGTTCAGGGAGAATGTGGCTTTTCCTGCATGTGAGAGCTCTTTTTGTGCTTCTGCACGTGATGGATTCATTTCTGCAGCTGGCTGTGTTGCTGATGAGGGCGGGTTGTTCGGTGCTGCAGGGTGCGTGCACTCGGTCACTTGGTCGCGCATGCTAGTCTTTGACTCTGTATAATTGTACTGTACATTTTAGTGCACAAAACAGAGTACAATAGAGGTCGTATTCAGAAATGTACTTGCCACAACCCCTGTTGTGAGTGATCAATGTCCAAGGGATAAATCCAGGGGAACATGGTAACTCTAATTTCAATTGGTTAAGTGAATTGGTAACTGAAACTTCTATGGGCAAATCATTATGTTATCAGTGAGTGTTTATGTAGCCCACTCAACAGACTCACAGGATACACGAAATCCTAACACTACGATTGCATACGGTAACAGCCCAATTACATGTCAGCCTTTTAGGGACTAAGCCTTTGAGTATATCAAGGCACAATTGGCTAGTAAAGAGATGTTCCAGAATCCTAGCAAGCGCTCTTCCGGCAGCGACGAAAAGGCTTGGGCAGATTTACTTGTGGTAGAGGAAGACAAAGCCAATGACAAAGAACGCAATCATCTGGTGGTTGAAAAAAAATAAAGAGATGGCACAAGAGGGAGGGGTGGAAGAGCAAGGTTAGCGAGAGCATATGGGGTAGAGATGAACAGAGTGGTCGTGGGGTAAAAGTGATGGAGGATGATCAAAAGAGGAATGACAAGCATGGTAAAGGAAAATGGAGCATTGCTACACTGCAGCATGTATGGGAGGGAGGGAAAAGTGTGCAAAAAGGACAGGTGGGGAGTTGAAGGTTGTCAGATATTAGATGGAGAGATGAGGCATATTATGGAGATAAAAGACCAATTGGTAGACAAGGAAAGGCACACTGTAAAGGTTGAGGCATAACTTGGTTAAAGGGAAGCAGCATAGCGTGGAGAAGGTGGAGGCGTAGTAGGGGAAGGCGGCCGGGATGAAATGAGGCATCGAATGGATAGATAGCGGCGGCATATCATGGAGAAAAAGGGCAAACCATGGACAGGCAGAGGCAGCATACCATGGAGAAGGTGGGGCATAGTAGGGGAGGGCTGAAGGCATACTAAGGTACGGCATACATAGAGCCTTAGCATGGACATGAGAAGGGGGGCAGAAGAGAGGCAGCATACCATGAAGAAGGTGGGGCATACCATGGAGAAGGTGGGGCATACCATGAAGAAGGTGGGGCATACCATGGAGAAGGTGGGGCATACCATGGAGAAGGTGGGGCATACCATGGAGAAGGTGGGGCATACCATGGAGAAGGTGGGGCATACCATGGAGAAGGTGGGGCATACCATGGAGAAGGTGGGGCATACCATGGAGAAGGTGGGGCATACCATGGAGAAGGTGGGGCATACCATGGAGAAGGTGGGGCATACCATGGAGAAGGTAGAGGCGTAGTAGGGGAAGGCTGCCGGGATGAAGCGCTCAAACTCGTCGTGGCGGAAGGGGCGCACGGGGATCTGTGGAAGAGGGTAGTGGGGTGAAGTGAGGTGCGGTAAGGTGGGGAGGAGTTAGAAGCAGCGATGACTGGGTTTGAGGGAAATGGATGGGGTTGGGCGGCTAGGAGCAGCGACTAACTGCGGGGCGAAATGATTCCGGTATGTGTCGGCGAGGGATGAGAAAGAAATCGCGAGGAGGAAAGAGAGGGGAAACTAGGGGAAGCAGGAACGACTTGAGGCCTGGCATGAAAGAGTGTGGCAGAAACCAGGGACATGAAGAAGGTTGCTGCTCCGCACCTGCTTTGCAAGCAAGGACGTGGAGTGGCAAGGCAACAATCAACCAGCTGTTTGTATGTTCGCAAGGCAACCATCAAAAGCGGGGCTGCTGGAAGCACTGCCCTGCTTTGCAGCGGAGATGGTGGAGTAGCCCATAGCCCATACCAACAATCAGCTGTGCCTAATCCCATCCCACCGGCCACGCAGTCTCGAAAGCGCTGACCTGCTTGGCGAGCGAGATGGTGGAGTAGCCCAGGCGCTTGTGCTCCACCTTGAACTGAAACACGCCGTACACGTCCGGCACCTGGAAAGATGTGAAGAAGCGACCCTGGGAAGGGGAGAAAAGGGGGAACGGCGGGAAGCGAGAATGTAGGGATTGGGAAGATAGGAAGGAGTGAAGGAATGTTGAGGTGGTAGACTCTGTTGGCGTCATGCGTTTAGAAGGGCGTGAGAAGCGACCCTGGGAAGGCGAGTGGTGTGAGACGACGAGGGGAGGGTGGGATGAAGATGAGATGAGCAAAGGCTCGTAGAGGAGGCGAAATGAGGATGGAGAGGGAGAATGAAGGGTGTGAGCGAGCACGTGGGTGCAGATTGAAGATTGTAGACTGCCCTTTCCATTCCATTGGGTGTGAATGTCTTCAGCACATCAGAGCTGAGTGAGTATGGCTGCTGTAGCATGCATCCGCATCTCACCTTGTCATCATGCGAGAGCGTCTTGAGCACGTAGGGGCTCATCATGTAGAACTGCACTTGCACGTCATCGCCCTTGAATGGCACCCACTCACTGCCCGCCCACTCAAAGATGTCCACTGCAAACTCCTGCCAGCGGGAGTGAGTAAGGGGGCAACAGAGAAGCGAGGGACCAAAGGGGAAAAAGAGGGGGGGAAAGGAATGTTTGGAAGGAAGATAAGGTAGCGGGCCGACTCACTGCCCGCCCACTCAAAGATCTCCATCGCAAACTCCTGCCAGCGGGAGCAGGGAGAGAGGAACCCGGAAATAGAGGGGAAAAAGGACGGAGAAAGAATGATGGAGACAAAACAAAGGAGCGGCTTTCACTCACTGCCCGCCCACTCGTGAGTGCACCCGTGCACCATGAGTGCACCCGTGTGAAATGGCGTTGAGGAGGGGAAGGGGAAAGGGGGGAAAGGGGAGATGCAAGACAAAAAAGCCACTGGCTGCAAGAATCCTGACGGGCATCAAGAAAGCAGGCAGGCAGGCAGGCAAGCAGGCAGGCAGGCAGGCAGGCAAGCAGGCAGGCAGGCAGGCAGGCAGGCAGGCAAGCAGGCAGGCAGGCAGGCAGGCAGGCAGGCAAGCAGGCAGGCAGGCAGGCAGGCAGGCAGGCAAGCAGGCAGGCAGGCAGGCAGGCAGGCAGGCAAGCAGGCAGGCAGGCAGGCAGGCAAGCAGGCAGGCAGGCAGGCAGGCAGGCAAGCAGGCAGGCAAGCAGGCAAGCGGGCACATGGCGGGTGCATACCAGGTGGTCGGAGACACGGTAGACGGCCGGCTCTGTGCTCTCGCCAGCCTTGCTGTGCCGCAGGTTCACAGCCTGGGAGGTGGGAGGCGGGGGGATGGAACGGAAGGAAGAGAGTGGTGAGCAGCGGTTTGGAAAGATAAAATGGGGAGCTGAGCAGTGGTGAGGACAGATGGGATGGTGAGGGGAGTGTGGGATGGTGGTGGGGTGGTGAGCAACTTCACCTGCTCTATCGTCTCACCTTGAGGTGCCCCCTCTCGTGGAAGGTCCATTTGGACAGCTCCGTGACAAACTGCTGTCCAGTGCAGACAGACCCATGCACTCTCTCTTTCTCTCACCGTAAGCTTCTTTCCTCTCAACTTCATCTGCTCCATCGTCTCACCTTGAGGTGCCCCCTCTCGTGGAAGGTCCACTTGGACAGCTCCGTGACAAACTGCTCATTGCCGGCCGGCGACAGCCACTGGGAGGTCTTGGCGTTTTGTGCGGCGGGGTCGGCAGAGGTGGCAGACACGTCCTCCACTGCGCGGAAGAAACTGAGAGGGGGGAATAAGGAGGGGCGGAGGAAGGGGAGGGGAGAAAGAGAGGCGGGGCAAAGGAAGGCAGAAGAGGAAGGGTTGATGTTGGGTCAGCGGAGGTGGCAGACACGTCTACCACTGCGCGGAAGAAAGAGTGGAGGCACAAGGGAAGAGGAGAGGAGAGACGAGGCAGAAGAGGAAGGGTTGGGGCGGCGGAGGTGGCAGAGCAGTTTACCACTGCGCGGAAGAAACTGAAGCAGGAAAAAAAACTAGGGGCAGGAGAAGGGGAGGTGAGGAGGAGGGAGGGGGTTGGCAGGATAGGTGCGAAGCGTATAGTTGACACACGCTCTTGGATCTGCTTTCGAAACCTGGCCCGCCCTCCTCCCCCTTCCCTCCCTTCTCTTCCTCCCTCCCCCCAAAATCCCCCCCCCCCTCCTTCCCCCCCAATTCTCCTGACAAGACATGCCCTTCATGTCTCCGATTCTCCGTCTCACTCCCCCCTCCCTCGTCCCCCTCTCACCCCCACTCCAGCACCCACGCACCTGTCTGTGAAGAGCGCGAGCGAGCCGGAGATGAGGACGCGCGCGTTGTTGCGCGCCTGCATGGCCGCCACCAGCGACACCGCCTTGCCCTGCAGCGCGGGGGGCTCCTTGAGAGGGGCAGATGGGTCCGCCGCGTAGGCCGTGGGGGAACCCGAGAGCACCGGCACCACCTGATGGCGCATTGAGGGATGCGCATGGGTACAGAGGGAATATTCGGTAAGGGTGTCTCAAAAGGAGCGCGGGGCTCATTGAGAGGGGCAGACGGGTCCGCTGCATAGGCCGTGGGTGAGCCTGAGAGCACCGGCACCACCTGATGGCGCATGGAGGGAGGAGGAAGGGACAGGGAGGGGGGACGAAGGGACAAGAAGAGGGGAATGGGGGGCGGGAAGGGAGAGGGGGGGGGGGAAGGGAGGGCGTTCCTCGTAAGAATGTCTCAAGACATGAGGTGGAATGCGGTGGGAAGAGATGAGGCGCCTGAGCGCACAGACTGCGAGCACCAGCAGCAGCTGGTGGCGTGATGGAGGAGGGTGAGGAGCTAGGGGACAGGGGTTAGCAAGCAGCATAAAAACGATGCAGCAACGCAGCGTGCTGTGCGTCTCAGAAGTGTGATAGCGAAGAAACATTAACGGATAGCATTCAAATGGGCCACAGGCCACGCGAAGGGGGGGGGGGAAGCAGGGCGTGGGGTTGCTGAAAGTATGTGTGGAGCAACGGCATACGTGTGGAGCGACGGACGGCATACCAGCTCAGACGTGGGCGAGACAGTCATGGCGATGCCCTGGAAGAGAATGGGGCCCTGTGGTGCAACAACGGCGAGGGCGGGAATGCAGAGGAAAACAGAGCGGTGCAGAGGGGTGACGGACAAGGAGAGGAAAAACAGAAACCGCAAAGCCGGATCCCATTCGCTAGCAAAAGAGAGGAGCATGCACCAGGAGAAATGGGAGGAAACAATCAGCCGCACACGAGCCGCAGTTATGTGGTTCCAACGGGATCAGGGTGGGGCTATTCCAGCACAGCATACCTGCACGAGAAGTTGATGAGGTTGCTACCCTGCACGAGAATATGGGCGTCCCTGCGCCTGCTCACCCGCGTGATTCTAGAGTCGATTCATAAGCCACCTCATACCTTGATGGGCGCAGAGCCGAGGATGACGGAGGAGTTGACGAGGTTGCTGCCCAGCACGAGTGTGTGGTCGTCCCTGCGCCCGCTCACCCGCGCGTACTGCTGATGGTCCATCACCACGCCCTTGGGGTTCTGCCATCGCACGGATGCAATATCGCGTAAGGAGTCGGATGGAAGCATGAGACACATCAGCACAACCCACGTCCCCGTCGCAAATAACACTGCAACCTAGTGCATATTACGGATGAAGTCAATCAGAGGCGTGAGGCGCGTCAGCACACACATCCCCCAAATCCACGCCGCATTCTGACACTATATCGCGGATAACGTCAGTCATATACTTGAGAGGCGAAGACAGATACCTCGTCGAGGTCCACGCCGCATTCGAGCGCGATATCGCGGATGGTGTCGGACGCGCCGCTGTCCGCCGCGAGGATGAGGTCGTGACCCGAGTCAACGAAGTCGAGGATCGCCGCCACGTCCACCACGCCGCCGAACGCTGAAAGATGAGGAGGCGGGAGGGAGGGGACATATGGGAGCGAACAGCGAGGATGAGGTCGTGGCCCGAGTCAACGAAGTCAAGGATCGCCGCCACGTCCACCACGCCGCCGAATGCTGGGAGATGGGGAGCACGGGGTAGGTGGGGGATGGGGGGGGAATAAGGAAAGAAAAGCGAGGATGAGGTCGTGACCCGAGTCAACGAAGTCAAGGATCGCCGCCACGTCCACCACGCCGCCGAACGCTGGGAGGTGAGGTGCACAGGATGATACGGCAAAATAGCGTTACTCCTTCACCTCACTACACGATTTCATCATTCGCAAATGAGGATGTAACACGTACGCAAGACTTTCGTGATGAGAATGATAGCGGCGCCGGAAAGACATTCATGAGTCGCCTTATAGCGCGATATTTGAGAACTACGCAGGTAGGAAGCAGCACGTACAGGAGACTTTGGGCGCGAGGATGATGGCGGCGTCGTAGAGGTACTCGCCGTACTTCTGCAGCACGAGACTCGAATCCCTCGCCGCGCGGAAATCCAACTCATACCCGCGATCTGCGGTGAACGGAGGACCAGGACGTAAACAGGGGAGAGGCGAGGGAAAGGGGGGAATGGCGAAAATAGAAGAGGAGTTTCAAATGAGACGCTGGCGCGAGTGGTGGGGACGTCAGCGGAAAGCTACAAGCCAACAAGACACGAGATGGGATCGTTGTGAATGCTAAGCGCACGACGATGAGTCAGAGATGGCGCATTAGTGGATATGTGACTGACCGATAAGGATCGCATCGCAACGCGCGGCCAAGGATGCCGGGCAGATTATGTGAGTTACGAGTGTTGCTAATTCAGTCACATTTGTCAGTGTCGCCTAGTCAGTAAGCTATGTCAATGTCGCGGATATAGGTATTGCGGTGTCGCCAATCATGTAAGCTATGCCAGTGTCTAAAACACAGATAATTATTGCTGTCGCCGATTTGTTGGTCAGCTATTTTCAGCCTCGCATGTTACGGAACTGTCGGCGTACGCTTGCCCTGTGACAAAGATGGGAGCTTTACGACCCTTGATCTGCACAACATGCTGCTTTATAAGTGGAGGCCCAAGATCTAACGAAATTCGTGCCTGTAAGGTGAATGCGAACGTCTCAATACCAACATAAAATTAAAACATTGTCCTTATTGAAAGGGAGCTCTTCAATCGAACGGTCCTTGTGCTTCTGTGAATCTCCACCAAATCGCGAAAACGACCTCCATGATTCGTGACCATCGGCAGCGTTCTTAATTACCTGCGAGGTTCTTAAAGAAGATGGAGTAGGAGTCCTTGTTCTTGAGATCATCCAGCAGCACGAGGATGCGCTGGTCCGTCGGTCGCTCCTCCGAGAATGCGACGCATCCCACCACCGAGATCGCCATCACGGCCAGCAGGCCAAGCACGCGCGGCGCCATCGCGATCGAGCGGCTAAATATGCGCAGCACGCGTTAAACGCGGCTAATTGGCGAGAGTGTATCAGAGGTGAGGTGCAGACGACCTAGATCCTAATCTCCGACCTATAGAGTCTGAGATTCCCACCAATGTCTGTGCTGATAATGGATGAATGCTGACAGTTGTGTGGTGAGCTGAGATCCCAAGGTCCGCCCAGACAATTCCAAGGGCCCGCGGAATTCCTGGCTGAACACAGATGGGCGGGCACAAAGATCTGGCGGAGGCTGGAGCAATGAGGGGAGAATGGGAAGGATTTGGTGCTGTACTGTTGTTACAACCGACTTTCATTATGTTCAATATTAGACATCATCAAAATTATTATGATGCTTTTCCACTTTCTTTACACAGCACAACTGCAGTGTAGGCTATGCGCTGGAACATTACCTACTTATATTCCTTGAAAGAAGCCCTCGTATGCAAGGCTCATTACCACAAGAGCATGTCATTAGCAAATGATCAAGTCATGCACCATCGAGTTGGGTCGATAACCTAGTCTGGAAGATCTGGAACATCTTCTCTTTCGACATTCCATCTTTCCTCACATGGTGGTACGAGAACACACAGCAGTCAATCGACGGCGGGCTACGTGCTTCCCTTTCCACCCGTGCATCTTCACTCTCATGCACAGCATCCCCTTCAACCCCTGCATGTGCTTGCTGTCCATACAAAACTCCTGTATCCTGCCCGTGGTCTCCAGGCACACCCAGCAGCATAGCCATGCCTGCAGCTGCCTTAGAAGACACTGCTGCATCCTTGCGCAACTCCTCTGCTGTTGCTGAAAAGAACACATCCTACAGGGGGAGAGAGAAAGGAAGAAAGGCACAGCAGGCAAGGGGGGAGAAACCAAGTCAAGGCAAGCTGTTTGAGAGAAGGGAATGAAGATGCGTGAAGAAGATGCTTCGGTTGGGAGGCGTGTTGGGTGACGTGAACCAGCAGCCAGGCAGCATGTCAAGGCCGTGTTATCAAAAATACACCTCAGTTGGTACACCATATACAAGGAGCAAGGTGCAGCCTTGTATAACAAGATGGAAACCATGACAAATCAACGGCTCCTCACAGAATTAGGTGAGGCGAGGCGGACGAGCAGCCGTCCTGTGGCATCCTCCAGCACCAGGACAAGCCCTGCCGCCCACTTCTTCTTCACCCCAGAACCTGCCTTTCCTGTGGACTCTCCCTTTGCTGAGGCCATTCTGCCCACTCCCTCTGATGTGCCTGCTGTCTCTGATGCTTTCCCCGAACCACCTCCTTCTCCCTCTTCCACCCCCTTCCCTACTGCTTCCCTCGCCACATCAGCCTCAGCGTCTTCCTGTAGCGGCATATCAGCCCCATCCTGCCTCGCCACGTCAGCACCATCCTGCATTGCCACGTCAGCATGTTCCTCTCCCTTGCGCAATTTCTCGCGCGCCCTTTCCATGCCTTCCTCTCCTAACCGCTTTCCCTTCCCTTCTCCCTCCACCCTCCCCTCAGTCGCATCAGTACCAGCAGCAGGTGGAGGAGTGGAGGAGCGCGGGGGAACGGAGGTGGAAGAGAGGGAGCGGAGCTTGTCCGGGACGAAAGCAGTGAAGCGAGCGGGGTGGATGGCAGAGGCGAAGATGACACGCGCTGCACAGCGGAAGCGGTACGGCACCTGGTGTGGGTAGGAACGACAACAGAGTGGAGAAACGACGAGATGGAGGAGAAAGGAGAGTGCAAGGTGTAACAGGGAGGAGGAGAAGGTAAGAGAAAAGAGGCAACTTTTGCTCGGTTTCGCTCTCCCCTGTCTCAGTCTCCCCTGTCTCTCTCTCCCTTGTCTCACTCTCCCCTGTCTAGCACTCCCCTGTCCCGCTCTCCCCTGTCTCCCTCTTCCCCCCCTCAATCTCCCCCGTCCCACTCTCCCCTCTCTCTCACACTAGCGCATGGTGCGGGTTACCACTGACTCACCACAGGATGGGTGTAGACCTGGCGAAGGGTGGAGTACGGCTGCAGGGTACGGGCGATGCCTGGGGTCAAACAGGAGGGCGCAGAGGAGGGCGCAGAGGAGGGCGCAGAGGAGGGCGCAGAGGAGGGCGCAGAGGAGGGCGCAGAGGAGGGCGCAGATGGATGCTGAGAGCTTGTTAAGGGTGGTAGAGTGGGGCCAAAAAGAGGTGGGAGATCTACATGCCAGTAAAATTACAGTGAGCATAAGGAATGGGGATTTGGGTTGGAAAAGTAGAATGGGGAGGTGCGTGATGGATTGGCATGTTTACGACATTGTGTGAAATCAGATGGACCGACGTGTGTATGGGAGTGCGGGCAATAAATGGGTGGATGAGGTGTCCGGGAGTGTGAGGGCAACGGATGGACTGACGTGTGTGTTGGTGGATGGAGGCCCACAGAGCCATGTTGCCTATCCGCGTGTGGGCGTCCTCACTCGCTGCCCTCTCTGCATACGTGCTGTGAGGGCAACAAGAGGAATGGCAGCGCGCACATGATGAGACGATTCCCCAGGTGTCCCAAAAACCCTTCTACGCAGTCTTGCCACTTTGTGCAACCGGGGGATTGAATCCGCTAGGAGCAGAGGCAGAACTACGTCTAGGTGGCTTATCATTCTTTGAAACCAATGGATGGTGAGCAGGGCGGTAACATAAGCATTACCTTTTCAGCTGTGCAACGTCCGTGTAGCACTCCCTGACGCGGCTCAGACTGCTGTTGCGCCTGGATTCAATCTTACCAACCAAAACCACAGCACAGGTGGGTCGAACTCACCTTGTCAACTGTGCAACGTCCGAGTAGCACTCCCTCACGAGGCTGAGGCGACTGGAGTTGTTGAAGATGCCCAGCCAGTCACCTCTGGCGCCGTGGCACGTGGCTCTGATGTTCCTCAGCCGCACCCAGCACGGCACCACCCCCTCCTGCTGCCACACTCCCGCCACCCTCCCCTCCTCACCCTCCTCCCCGCCCTCCCCCCCATCTTGTCGTCTCTCACTCCCCTCTGCTGCCACTCCCCTTCCCTCTCCCTGCTCCCCATTCTGATCTCGCTCTGCCCTCGCACCCTCCCCACCCCTCTCTCCCCCTTCGCCTCTGCCGCCACCTTCCCCCTCCTGCCCCGCCCTGTCCGTCCCCCCTGCTCCCTCCCCCTCCAACGCCCGCGCTACAGAGGGGTGCAGGCGGTGCAGCAGCCAGTGAAGATCGTCCACGTGGCACATGACAGGCAGGAGGGAGCCCAAAGGGGGGACGCGTCGGAGCACAGAGAGAGGCGGGGCGGGGCGACCGCCAATGGCGAAGGGAGGGTGCTCTGAACGTATGCTTGGAGGAGCGGCAGCATGTACCCCTGCAGGCGCCGATGCTGAAGGAGGAGTTGATGTGGGTGGGCTAGTGGGTGCTGGTTGGGGTAGGGATGAGCTGGGGTCCGCGCATGGTGTGGTGGAGGAAGGGACACTGAAGGGTTGGCCTTGAGGGGGAGAATGACTGGAGGGGATTGGTGTTGCTTGCCTGCACAGAGATGAGACAGCAGAAGAGAGGTGAGTGGTGAAGTGGAGTAGGGCGTGGAAGAGAGACGGAATGGAGTGGAGCATGGGCGAGAGTGATGCGTGAGTGATTGGAAGGACAAGTGGCTTTGGTTGTAAGGAAAGGTGATGAACGTGCCTGAAAATGGAAGGATGGTGACGAGATCTGGAAGCGGCAGGGGCGGAGGATTGTGTGGAAGGAAGGCAGAGAGGAGGTAGCAAGACTCACGCGGAAAGTGACGGGAGAGGGAGGTCGGTGCCGTCCCACACGAACAGCACCACCATCCTATCCCTCTTCACTATGTGCCACACCTGCACACACACAGCCATGCACACCGGCATCCAGATGCCCACATGCCCCAACACCACCCCCCCACCCTTCACTCCCCCCACCCTTCTCCCGCACGTGTCCCCTGCCTCCCCTCCCCCTCACAAACACACGCGCATAACCCCCAAGCAGCAATCCAAAGATGTTCATGCTAGCACAGGAAAGGAGACCGACAAAAGGCCAAACCGAAAGACCATACAAGGTTATTTTAATGTCGATCAGAAGCGGAGAAGCAGAAATCGGCATGACAGTGGGCACACGGACCTGCACGCAGAGGTCAAACGCAATGTCTGCATCGATGCTGCTGATGCTCAGCAATGGCTCTGGTGCTGTGGGTGGGCCTGAGAGGAGTCATTGTGGGGAATGACGGGAGGCACGAAGGAACACGGATAAGCTCTTCTTCACATACGAAATGCCTTCCGTTCTTGAAGGAATGCTCTGCTCTCCAGTCCATGACCAATCAACTTCCCCTCCATCCCATAACGTCCTTTCCTATTCTCTGCCCCACCCCAGCCAGCTTACGGATGAGGAAGGGGAAGCCATGCGCCCATTGCCGGAGCTCGCTGGTGGTGGTAGTGACTGCGGGAGAGAGGCGAGAAAGTCTAAGACCTCCAAAGGTCAACTTCCCCCGTCTGTCCAACCCCCCCAGCCCTCCACCTGTCCACCCTCCCCCAACTTACGGATGAGGAAGGGGAAGCCGTGCGCCCAGAGCCGGAGCTGCTGCACGAGCTGCTTGTGGCCGTCGGAGAGTGGTGAGAAGGTTCTGTGCGAGAAGGAGTAGGGCTCCAGGGGCGCGCCTGGCGCCCCTGAGAAGAGAGCGTAGGCGCTGCCCAGACCTGTGCGCGCTGTGCCCAGAGGACCACTGTGGATCACCGTGCTCTGCATGAGATAGCGGGGAGAAGGTAGAGATGTGTAGCAGGGACGGGACGTTGACAATAGGAGAGGCACAGGGAACAAGGGGTGGGTGGAAGATACAGAAATCCGAAGGTAGCGGGCAGGAATTGTACTGTCACAACCATCAGCCTGTGCACGTGAATGCGAATCTACTACTGGCCATCACTCTATGAATGCGAAATGTGCGAAACTACTGACCATCACTCTGTGGATGCGAATGATATCGCCGACATTGGCAACTTGAGGTAGCTGATCAGCTCGAGAAGCAAAGACATTGACGGCATAGCCAGGGCTGTGGCACGTGGTGTCAGCTAGTAGCAGCGTGCAGAAGAAATCTGCAATGGGGATGCACGCGCGGGTTAGGAAAGCACAAGATCTTCAAAAACGAGACCGCTTGCGCAAAGTTACAATTGCAATCGCATGCAGAGGAGCGGAGGGGGGGCAAATCGGAGCGACGGGACGAGAATGTTGCATGAACAAGAACGAGACGAAACTCAGGAAACTTCAAGACGAGTACCCGTTCCCTGGGAGTGCCGGATGTTGTCTGCAAGAACCACCACGCCGAAGACATTGACCTTCTGCCCCGCTGCTGCAGCCATGTCGCTCAACGGCGTGTAGATGTACTTGTCCTGCTGCTGTCGTACGGGAGAGGCGCGTGTGCGGTGAAGGTGCACGCTTTTGAGAGACTGTCTGCGACGATTTATTCTAACGGAGAAGCGAACATCGATGACGGGGAGAGCCACGGAATCAAGAAGCGAACTTGCAAAAGGACGGAAAGACGCGCTGACAGAGACAAGCTGGTCCGAAGGTTCGTGGTCCGAAACTTACAACCATTGGATTGCTGGCGTTCTGATACTAGTATGTCGTAAGGCTCAAGTGAATTTCTTCAAGTCACGGTATCCGATGCATGCAGGACGGCCTATTGCTTCTAGTGCGAAATGCGAACAAGACTGATGCAGACGGTAAAGATCACGGAGCGCGGAGCTGGAGAGCGACAATGAAATTGCGCTCCAAGTAATTCTGAGGACAAGGCTGAGGAAGGGGAGGAAGGGGAAGAAGAATAAGAGTGCGCGTGTTCATGACGATTTGCTCTAGGTTTTGCTCGCGAGAGTTGCGAATTCGAAGAGCTGCTCGCTGAATTCGGGTTACACGTCGTCGACCTCGACTGGGAGAATGTTATCTGGCGCGTGTCAGAAGCATGAAGATCAGCTTCTGCCACTCCTGAGCGAGAAATGGGGTCACCTGGAAATTTTGTCGCTGCCTTTGATTGGCCCATTACCTCACTGTCTCAACTTTCCAACAAGGCAAATCCATTTTCTGCCCCGCTCGGTCAATTGGGCACAAGCCCCAGCCACAGAGCACAAAAAATTTCCGCTCCCATTCGCCCGCGCAATTCCTGCCATTCTGCGCCTGTCCACCCTCCAGACCAATGAGAATGTCACCGTACCCCATCTTCCGCTCCTTTCCCCCGCCTCTCCGCATGAGCATTCTCCACTGTTCTTCCGCATGCCCCTTCCGCTCCCTCAGAAGTTCCGAAATTCAGTTGTCTGTTTCCATTTACCGTTCATCAGTCAAGCTCAGTTCCTCGCTGCTTAGGACCAGGCTTCAGTAAGCTCGCGTCGCGAGGCTGTGGCCGTAGCATAACAATGGCGGCTATTCGCGCGAGCGCGTCCCTGCCGCTGGCGCCGCCTCAGGCTCTTCGCGGAGAGCCCGAGGTTGCGCAGGCCAGCGTTCAGAGCCCACGGAGCAGCCGCAATATCCTTCCTCACCATGATGGCTTGAGACGCGTGTTACCAGCAACGAGTAACACTGCAGCTTTTCGCAGAACTGAATGCAGAGTCAATCGTATTCGTAAGGCGGATGTAACTCTAGGTGGCATTCGGTCCAGATTAAGCGGCAACGCGAGTGATAAGGATGGATTAGCGGATTCCGCCATGGCCGCAACTTTGATAGAGGAGAAAGAGTCGACGCGGCTATTAAGAGCCGCAGAAACCGCGCTCGGATTAAACTCAAGCGTAGAGTCTACAGACGACGACGATGACTACGACGATGAAACTGATATGGAGGACGCGCAGGGCAATGACAGCGAATCGCAAACAAAATCTCGCCAGCGGTTACCATCGCTGGAGGAAAGACTAGGAGACGATCGTGACGTCAGCAGGTGGCTGGCGGAAGTGGAGGAGGCGGATACCTTGGCGGAACTGCTTCTGGGGAAGCTGGCAGCGTTGCGCGGGGAGGCGGGCGGAGCGGCAGCGCTTGCCGCGGCGGAAGCAGCAGCGGCGGAAGCTGCTTCCGCCGCTGCGGCAAAGGCGGAGGCGGAAGCGGTGGCGGCGGCGGCAGCAGCAGCAGCTGCTGCAGCCGCCGCGGAAGAGAAGAAGAAGGCGGGCGGGGGATGGTTCGGCGGTTTGGGGAGTCTGTTGGGGGGTGCGAAGGAGAAGAAGGCGGAAACGACAGGGGAAAACGCGGAGAGAGCGCAAGGTCAGGGGAGGTCGGCGGAGGCGCAAGGGCAAGGGGGAGCGGCAGGTGCCAGCAGAGCGCAGGGCGCGGTGTTGGGGCAACGACCGGGGTTGGGAGGCGCAGGCGCAGGGGCGGGCAGTGCGGGAAAGGCGGAGAGATTCACGCGGCGTGACGTGGCATGGCTTATGGAGGGGAGCCTGGCGGCGGGCAACGTGGCACTCAGCTATTCGCTGCTGAATGCGTGCAAGACGTCCGCTTTGGCGCTTAATGCGGGCGCGCCCGGAGCAGGTGCGGCAGTTGTTAGTTAGAAGATGGTAGACTAGTATGAAGGACATTGACGGTACGATTAGACATAAACGACTGCTGGGGATTGGCTGCTCTGCTGGCATTGCCGGATGCTGCTGCATCCTCATCTCCGTTTCCTCTCCCCTTCCCCTGTGTCCCCGCCGCACTCCCCTTCCCCCGTGTCCCCGCCGCACTCCCCTTCCCCTGTGTCCCCGTCTCCCAACTTCCCGCCGCTGCCGTCAGCGCGTGCGCGCGTGTGGCCGGCGGTGGGCGTGCGCCTGTACGCGGCGATGGTGAGGGGGCTGGCGGCGCTGCTGTGAGTGGCGGATGCTGCTGCCCTCCCATTCCCCCACAAATTCCCCCTCCCCGCACTCCCGCATCCTCCCCTCCCCCACTGACAGCGCGTGCGCGCGTGTGGCCGGCGGTGGGCGTGCGCCTATACGCGGCGATGGTGAGGGGGCTGGCGGGGCTGAGGATTTTGCGGCCTTACCATAACCCCCGTCTCCCCCATCCTTCGCCTGCTCCCACTCCTTTCCAGCGCGTGCGCGCGTGTGGCCGGCGGTGGGCGTGCGCCTATACGCGGCGATGGTGAGGGGGCTGGCGGCGCTGCTGCGAGTGGCGGACGCCGTCGCGCTCGTGGGGGAAGTGCAGCGGAGAGGCGTGCCCGAGGGGGACAGAGAGGTGAGCGGAGGGGGGGATGGGGAAAAGGGGAACGGGAAAGAAGGGGAAGCAACAACCGTTTGCTGCGAGTGGCGGACGCCGTGGCGCTGGTGGGAGAGGTGTAGCGATGGGGCGTGCCCGAGGGGGACCAAGAGGTGAGTGTGGTGAGGAGAGGGGGGAATGGGGAGCAACAGCCGTTAGTTGCGAGAGGTGAGGAGTAAGCACTAGGCCCCACCACAAAGCATCGACTCACAGCACTGCTATCCCCACCCGCGCCACCATCACCACCACTCCCACCCTCTCCACTTGCCGCACTAGGCGCCTCCGAGGGATGGAAACTCCCCTCATAGTCCCCCCAAAAAGCGTCGACTCCCCTCACAGCCCCCTTAGAAAACGTCGACTCCCCTCACAGCCCCCCCCAAAAACGTCGACTCCCCTCACAGCCACCCTAAAAAACGTCGACTCCCCTCACAGCCACCCTAAAAGACGTCGACTCCCCTCACAGCCCCCTTAGAAAACGTCGACTCCCCTCACAGCCCCCCCAAAAAACGTCGACTCCCCTCACAGCCCCCCCAAAAAACGTCGACTCCCCTCACAGCCCCCCCAAAAAACGTCGACTCCCCTCACAGCCCCCCCAAAAATCGCCGACTCCCCTCACGCCAAGTGGTTCTTCCCTTGGCGCCCCTCCCTTCCCCCTCCCTTCCCATGCAGGTGTCCTTCGGAGTGACAGTGGACTCCCCCACGTGCCACATGGGGCGAATCGTGAGGCGACTCAGCAGCCACATCAGGTGGTTCTTGCCTGTGCGTCCCTCTGTTCTCCGTGCAGGTGTCCTTCGGAGTGACAGTGGACTGCCCCACGTGCCGCAAGGCCTTCGCTGTGGTGCAGCCGCAGCAAGGCCGGCAGGTGAGGCCCCCGTGGCCTGGCTCTTGTCTCCGCTCCCTGCGCCGTTTCTTCCATGCTGTATCATTATGTCCCCGTATAGTATATCCCCGTATAGTATATCCCCGTATAGTATATCTGATGTCATCACCTCTGGTTTCTTCAACGCCCATAGCCTTTCTCCCTTTCTTCTTTCGGACTCTCGGCCTTGCTTCCATTGCCTTCACTAGGCCTTTATGTGCCCCTCCCTCCAGCCGCCCTCATTCCTACTCCTGTTTGGCGCTCTTCCGCTGTCCCTCGCCCCGCCTGTGGGAGTTGTTGCCCTGCTGTCTGTCTCAGGTGGTGGGGTGTGCGGGGTGCAAGTACGAGTACGAGTTGGTATCAGGAGACCTCATCTCCTGCGACTCTGAGTCCCTCATGTGAGTGCTTCCTACACGTACTGATGGTGTATTCTCACTGTATATGTGTGTAGCACATTCATGCATGTGTTGTTCGGTGCAACTACAAGTATGAGCTGGTATCAGGAGATCTCATCTCCTGCGACTCTGAGTCTCTTATGTGAGTGATGTGGTATCTGCATTTATTGTTTATCCTAAGATATACATGTGCAAAGCAACGAGCCGAGTTTTACTCGGCTCGTCCCTGGGCACACGCGTACGAGTAATGTCACGAGCCGAGTTTAGCTCGGCCGAGTTTTTTCCACGTGACTCAATCTCGTGGCTCGTCTCTTATCACGAGCTTTTTAAAATCTCGTCCGAGTTTAGAAAACCTCGGACGGGCGCGAGGAAATCTCGGCTCGTTGCCCTGTGCAGTGCTCTTGACGAGTCACCCCTGCCTGTGCTGGTTCGCGTGACGAGTCGCCCCTGCCTGTGCTGGTTCGCGTGACGAGTCCTCCCTCCCTCAATTCCTCCCTCAGTTTTTCCCTTAGTTCCTCCTCTCTCAGTCCCTCCCTCAGGCACTCCCTCAGTTCCTCCCTCAGTTCCTCCCTCAGTTCCTCCCTCAGTCCCTCCCTCAGTTCCTCCTCCCTCAGTTCCTCCTGTTAGTGTTAGTCTTCAATCTCACAATTTGTACTTTGTATTTTCTATATCCTAGAGTAGTGTAGTTTGCACATTGTGTTTGGTTGGGTGTACACCTACATCCCAACCAAACCCAAATGTAATCTCCAACCAATCTCCAACCCACCAATTGGAGATTGCCTTGGGATTACCCCCAATCCCTAGAGATTGCCCCCGATTCCCTTCCCCATCCTTTTCCTACCCCTCTTGGATGTACTTAAAGAGCTTCAAGCTCATTACTAATGCATCGCTTCTAAGCCTATTTCTGACATGGTATCAGAGCCCTTCAACCGCATACGCGGATCGTGATCTTCTTACCTCTGCGGATACTCGTCCCGCAAACCTCGGCGAAGCCATCGTCAACCTCGTCGCCGGTGATTCGCGACATTCGTCGGCGGAAATTTTCCCGCTGCACCTTCCCGTCACTTTCGACGGTAATTTATCTGGTAAGCGCATCGTCCGCGCTATAACCTAACGCTCGCTTTCCTCCTCGTCGGGCCGCCGCCCGTCGCCCTGCAGCTTCTCGTCGGGCTGCCGCCCGTCGCCCTGCAGCTTCTCGTCGGGCCGCCGCC